CTGCCTTTAATCCCAGCACTTAGGAGGCAGAGGCAGAGGCAGGCAGATCTCTGTGAGTTCAAGGCCAGCCTGGTCTAAGGGGCTAGTTCCAGGACAGGCTCCAAAGCAACACAGAGAAACCCTGTCTCAAAAAACAAACAAACACAAACCAACCAAACAAACAAAACAATTGAAAGAGCTTCTATTTATTTAAGTACCACATTTGTTATATAAAACATTATCATCTGTCCATATCTTTATGTTTTATTAGGCCTATCCTACTCTGCTAATAACATAGGGATGTTGAACTATATTTTCCTCCACTTTTGCACATTTGGGCATTTCATTGATCTGTAATTTATTTTTGCATGTATGCAGTGAACTAGAGGTTTGGTTGTATTGATGACTGAAAATCCAATCAGTGAAGCATGATATATTGAATAGCAGACCCTCACTAATGTCTCATGATGGCTCTGTTTAAAACCAATCATTTGGGGCTGGGGAGATGGCTTGCCCCACAAATATGAATTATGTAGCTGACAATGACCTCAAATTTCAGATCAAGCCCTCACCTAAAAGTGTATACCACCCATGGTTTTAATTTTGCAAAGCCTAGAGATGTATAACTAAGTGATTTGTAACTGAGTACCTCTAAGTTTCTTTTTCTATTGTGAATAGATTTTTTTTTCAAAATTAAATTCTTGTAGCTGTAGCTGTTCTGCCAATTTATGACCTACATGTAGAAAGTGTGACATAAGTATGATGATACTGTTGATTCTTGCATAGGAATTTACATGCAATCTCCTTACTGATTTCTTACGTTGATTTTAATAACTATGTACAATGTCTTTAATTCCCACTAGTTTATTCTGTTTACAACTGATAATTTAGGGTTTTTTTTTTTTTTACTCTGTTGTGTGCGTGTGCGTGCGTGCGTGCGTGTGTGTGTGTGTGTGTGTGTGTGTGTGTGTGTGTTTTGCCTGCCAGGTACCCTGGTTTCCTTTCTTTTGCTGTAATAAAACACCTGACAAACACAGCTTAAGGGAAAAGGGGCTATTGCAGCTCACAACTCCAGGTAACAGTCCATAGTGATGGGAGACACCAAGGAGGCAGGAACCCAAAGTAGCTAGTCATACCCACAGTCAAGAGCAGAGAGAGAGAGTGAATGCATGCACGCTTGCACTCAGCTCTATAACTCCACCCTTTTACAGGGAATGGTGCTTCCCAGAGTGGGCTGGGTCTTCCTACACAATTGATACAATCAAGACAGCCCCCCCCCCCCCCGAAAGACATGCCAACAGGCCATCCTGACCTAGACAGTCCCTCACTGAGACTCTTCCTAGGGGATTCTAGACTGTGTCACGTTGACAAATGAACCATCGCACTAGGCAAGCACACAACCATTGAGATTCATCCCCAGCCTGCCTTTCTTGTTTTACTGCACTCACTAACCAGTACCTTCCCACGGTGTCAGATAAAAGTGGTGACAGCAAGAATCCTCACGCTGTTCTCAGCTTTACCGCAGAGAAGTACACAGGAAGATTTATTTAATGTTAATATAATGGACTTTGGGAATTAATGTGGTTGGTGGTTTATTATTATTTTCTGAGAGATTTGACTTGCTTACATTTTATATAGAATTTTCATGTTTATGCCCCTGAGATTAATGTGCAAAATATTTTGATTTGTAATTCTGGGGAGAGAACCCAGGGCTAGGCAAATGCACATCACTAAGTTGTTCCTCGTGTACTAGTATTGTTCAGCGCTGTTACTGCTCGATTCTGTTACCAATGTTCACAAGGCAGGCAGCAATAACGTTCTTCCAGACATCTCTCTCTGTTCCTCCTCTCTCCTTTTTGTTTGTTTTTTTTTTTTTTTTTTTTTTTTTTTTTTGTTCTTGGGGATCACTCAGCCATCAATAAAACACGACAGGAAAATAATTTATGCAACTGGCCTTGGCATCAATCACCTGGAAAAAACATGATACAGGAACTCTCCCCGTTCTCAAAAGTAAAGCCTGGCTTCTTAAGCAGAAAAGAGAGCCCTTGGACATCTGTCTCTTTATTAGAGATGAAAGTTGGGTGCCTGTTGAGTACAACAAGGTCACACAACACCATCTCTAGCTGCAAGGGTGCCTAGGTAAGTGACTGGACATTTCAGCTTATTTTGCCATCAAAACTAAGACTTCCATTATACCTACCCCTATGAACTGAGCAAGTGTTCCCTTAGAAGTTACTCGTTACTTTACTGTTTCTCTGCTTCCCTTAAAAAAGAAAGGGCTGGGTGTTTATGTCTTTAATCCCAGCACTCAGGAGGCTTAGGCAGGTAGGTTTGAGTTTGAGGCCAGCCTGGTCTACAGAGCAAGTTCCAAGACAGCCAAGGCTACACAGAGAAACCACGTCTCGAACAACAACAACACACACCAAAACAAAACACGTCTCGAACAACACCCCCCACACCCCCCAACCAAAAAAAAAAAAAAAAAAAAACCCAAACCAAAGAAATGGAAAAAGTGAACGAAAACATTCAATAGCTCTTTTCAATCCCTAAATTGCATTATCACCTTGGAGTATTTTCTTCATTATAATAAGGACTCTTTAACCTTCTGTTTTTGTGGTCTATTGTTTTGAGGCCACAAATATGCCCCAACTAGCCATGCCCACACCTTTGCAGCATTGCAGGTACCGCCACGTGCAGCCAGCTCTGCCCAGGTGTTTGCCGGTTTCTTCTATATGTCCTTCTTCTTTTTCTTCAGTTTTAACTTGTGGAATAGCTCTTTCTTTTTAAAACACGTCAATTGTTATTTTTGAGTGTGTGTGTTTATATGTGCACATAGGTGCCGTTGTCCACGGAATCAGGAGGAGGGCGTTGACCCCCTGGAGCTGGAGTTACAAGTAGTGTGAGCCAGTGGACACGGTCCTGGGGACAGAACTGTGACCTGCTCTGAACTCCGAGCCACCTCTTCAGTTTGAGTGTCTCAGCCTTCAGTTGTCATGAACCGGTACATATGCCAACTCTCAGACCCAGCTCCCGTTTGTGTAGGCCTGAAGCCACATTTCCTGTCCTGCTACCCATAGCAGGTACAACACCCCAAGCCCCAGACATCAGGGCCTACAGTGTCCTGACGCCTCCCAGCTTCCACTGAATTCGCTGGTTCTTTTCCCATTCTCTTCCAGGGTTCTAACTCTAGGACCTAAGGATTTCCCTCTCTTTGTTTTAAGCTCGGCTTTATATTGTTATAGTTCATCCTGTGTTTGTCATAGGAAGGGGGAGGGTCAACACTAATCTTTCCAGTTACTATTACTGGAAGTGAACATATTCTATTTATAACACATTTCCCTCTCACTCATGTTTATGACTACTTTAAAATAAATACCATATATTTTGATAGAGAAAACAGACATGACAGACAGCTGGAGACGTCTTCGGTTTCAGCAAAAGTCATAAAGTTTCTTACATTTTTCTTGATTTGGGTACATAGGGGACAGTCCCCAGGCACTAACTCAAGCGAATGCAAGTGTAGCTGAGAAACGGAATTTTCCATGGTGTTTTCCTGAATGTCCTTTGCTTCTCTTGTTCCTTGGTGAGCAGACCCTCTAGAAATCTGTCTCTAACCACACCGGGGGCCCAGTGACTTTGGCAGATAAGCAGTTGGCTGGGGCCTGAACTGCATCTTAGATCACCCACAGCTTCCAACAGAAGGATGGATGGGCCCCGCCTCATTTGCATGTCAGTGTGACTCAAGAATTCCCTGGGACTGGATCCCCAGGCAGTTGAAAGCATCTTTGGTTGGTCAGCCCAAGGCTTTCACTGTAAAGGTACTGGATTGGAAGACTTCCATTCGCTCTGTTGATAAGAAGAAAAGTCTCTTCTTGTGACAGAATGGTCTAGTTCAGCCAGTGATGTGTCTAAATATGCCCCCCCCCACACACACACCCAAGGCTCAGGCAATAGGGATAGGTGGGAATTCACAGAGGCCAGTGAGTAAGTAGGGAAACTGTCCACCTGGCTTCTCAACAGTCAGAAGATGAAGCAGCAGCAGGCCCGTGAATGTCGTGTGTGTGTGTGTGTGTGTGTGTGTGTGTGTGTGTGTGTGTGTGTGTAAATATACTGTGGAAAGGCTAATACAAGGCTTGTTTGCTGAGTGGTTAATTTCAATCAAATATATTTCATACATGACTACAAATATTCTTTGTGTTTGTGTGTGTACATGGGGTCAAGAAGTCAACGTTGGGTGTCTTCCTCAACCACTCGCCATCCATTTTTTGAACACAGGGAGTCTCTCACTAAACCTGGAACACACTGATCTGGCTAAACTGGCTGGCCAGTGAGATTCTGGAATAATCCTGTCTCTGCCTCCAAAGCACTGGGATTACAGACACACGTTAGTGCTGGAGATCTGAACTCAGAGCCTTCCTACTTGCGTTGCACACACCCACAACCCTCCACTAAAAATATTCCTACCCAGAAAAGCACTGAGCAGAAAAGCCATGGCTGGATGGGGATGTAGAAGGGGGAGATTGGACAAGACCCATTAACCAATTATGCCATCGGCAGTAAAGAAACAGAAGATATTAAAAAAATACATTTACAAAGCAGAAAACATAGCCTGGGTCAGTGCTGGCTTATAACTTGCCCAAAAGGAGAACCCTGCACACAGGAAGGGTGGAGTTCCTTGGGGGAATGGAAGCCCACCTTAGCCACCATGGATCGCTCTGTCACTTGGTTACTTTTCTCTGGGGACTCCTGGGTAGTCATCAGACAGTACTGAGAAACCTATTAATCAACACACAGAGCCACAGGGGCCGCCCGGTCCCATACTATGTCAAGGCACAGCCCTTTCCTCTCCCTGGTTAACCCGTCCTGGGGATAGGTCAGGTGTCCTCTTGTGTCATCAAAGGCAGCTTCAAGAGAAGTGTCGTGCTCTCCTGACCATTCTGGTTTTGAAGCAATAATATTGGTATCTATTAGGATGGCACAATGGCTATCCTCACGGCATCAGGCGGCAGGGACTTACTTACCTGTTGAGATACACTCGCTTCTCAGTGAACTGCCCATTGCCGTGGTGAGGGTCCTCGAAGGGCTCGTTCTGCACGACCTCCACCCCTTCTCCCCGGTCACTCTGCTCGTGACTGTGCTTGCTGATCATATACAGCTGTCCGATTTTGTACTGCAAAGCAAACAGAGAAATGGAGACAGAGAGGTCAGCCCCAGATTGCCTCTGATGAATCTGCACACTGTCCCTCCAATGACAGGACGCCCAGCAACTAATCACATCCACCTTCTGCTGGGAAAAGCAAGTTGTCACTTGGGTCAAAGGTGACTGTCCTTGGGGTTTGGCAGAGGACTACTGGTCATGAGAAGAAACATGTTCCTGCGAACAATGTAAGCGGCCATACCAAGTGCTCCCTGGGGCTCTGGGAGTCTTTAAGGTCCATGCTTTTGTGTGCAGATGCTGGGAATCAGACAGTCTTCCCTGGTTTCCATTCTGGTTGTACAGGGTTTTAGGGAGTTGGTGTTCTATTTGGCTTGGCCAAAGGCAGCCTAGAGTGTGTTATTTCTGTCCTGTCTTTCTAGCTAATTGGCAGCATTGCTGGGCATAGGGATTAACTGTCAGCTGCATCTTCTGCCACCTAGAATAGCAGTTCTCACAGGTGGCTAGACAGGATCATGAGAAAGGTTGATTTCTGTCACACCCACTCCAACTTGGATCTTGTTTTGCTTTTGAAACAGAAGCTCAAGCTGGCCTCGAACTCATTTCTGCTCCTTCCGCCTCTAAGAACTGGGGACTGAACCTAGGACTTCATTCATGCTACACAAGAATTGCTGTTTTTGAGAGTCTCTCTCTCCTCTCTCTCTCTCTCTCTCTCTCTCTCTCTCTCTCTGTCAAGCCCACACTGGCCCAGAACTCTTGACAATCCTGCCTCAGCCACTCACACGAGCCACCAATGCTAAGGCCCCTAGATGCTTCAAAACCTCCAAATCTCCACGTCCCACAACTAAGAACCTGAGTTCAAGGAGCCTGTGGCATACTGAAGAACATCTCTGCTTCTCATTCTCACACACACATGACTAACAGTGTGGGGCCTTCTGGAGTCCAAAGGTCACATGTCAACCCTCTAACGGCGTCACGGAGCAAGCTAGGACTGAAACATTTTCTTTACTATCTTCACTCCCAAGCTGTCCAGCTCTCTTTCCTGCCTCTCACAAGACTCCCTATCTGAGCCTGTGAGATGGCTCAGTCCAGTATATAAAAGCACTTGCCGCCACCAAGCTCAATGACCTGAGTTTGGTCCCTGAAACCCACATGGAAGAAGGCTGTCCTCTGGCCCTGCACTTGTGCTATGGCACTTGCAAGCCACACAAAACAAAACTGGTAGATTGAAAAAAAAGAAGAAGCAATAACAATTCAAACAAACAGAAAGCCAACCCAAAGTCAGCAGGCGTTTATTTCCCCGGTGGACTTCCAGTGTGGCGAAATGAATTTCATGCCCTACTCTGTGTGTCTGAGGGGAGATAAAGAGGAGGAGCGGAGGGAGGTACAATTTTTGCCTGAGGGACATTTACGCTTGGGGTCAGGACTCTGCTGTGGTCCTCTCTACACACTCAGTGTGAACCAAAGTCACCGCCACCAAGACCTGAATCTTGGACAAGCTAATGCGAATGCCGGCTTGTTCCTAAAAGGGCCCTGGCCAGCAGGGATGCAGAGCCCATATCTGGGCAAAAGAGAGAAGGATCTATGCTACCTCTAGAGGCTGCTGAAATTTCAAGCCAGCATTGTGGTTGGTTCCAAAGCTGAGAGGTCTCTTGTCACAAGGTCCCTCCTTCGGGCTGAGGCGGGGAGTGTGAAGATGCTCTGAACAGGCTCCATTCTGCAACCAGCTCAAGGGACCAGGTCCAGTAACCATGACAACGAGTCAGGCTGTTGGCTGGGTCTTCTCCAAGGGCTATGCTTCCTATCTGGCCACGGTCTTATCCAGAACACGTCCGTGTTTAAAATGCTTTCAATGTGGGGAGGGGAGGCATAAGGTAAGAGCAGGGAAAGGAGAGAGCAGGTTGGGAGCTAGGTCCATTTTAAAAAAAGAATCAGAGGATCAGGCGCTTGACCTGGCTTCCCCTCTGTCCAGTACGGCTTTTACATTTTGTTCCCCAAAACTAACAAGGGTGTCCTGCAAGGACAGGGAAGCTAAGCCTGTGAGGTTAATGGTCCATTCTTCCATGAAGCGAGGCAGGTGCTCTGTCTCAGAGGCAGGTGCTTAGCAGGTGCAGAAGGCAACAGCAACTGTTTGTACTAGCTCGATGAGCATGGACAGTGGAATATTACTCAGCCACAAAAAGGAATGAAATGTTGATACTGAAGCCGCTTAAAGTATGCTATGGGTTGAAGTGTTTGAAGGCTTGAAATCTCATATTTTAAAAGATGCCATTAGATAGATTTTCATCCAGTGTGACTGGTGCCCTTACAGTAAAGAGACATCAGGGCAGAGACAGACAGGGATACAGAAAGACTGTGTGAGGAGTGGGTTACTTAGATAAGCCACAGATGGGGTCAAACCTTCAGAAAAAGAATGCTCTGCTCATGTTCCCGTTTTGGATCTGATCTCCAGGCTTAGGAGGAAATAAATGGCTGTGGTTTAACTACCAGGACAGGCCACTTTGTCAGGCAGGCCTGGTGAACAGCCTGGGGTCTGGGAGCAACTGTCAGTACAGCACTTGCCACACAGCATAAGACAGCATAAGGTCTGGAGCTCAGACCCCCCCCAGCACCCTGAAAACGCTGAGTGTGGTGTCATGCACCTACACCCCCCGCAGAGAAGAGGCGGAGGCAGCCCTGCAACCAGCTGGCCAGCACGTGAAGGTGCCTGCTATACAAGCCTGGCTTCCTGGGTTCCAACCCTGGCACCAGTGTATGCGGGGAGGGAAAACTGACTCCACAAAGTTACCCTTCGTATCCATACACATGACGCGGTACAAGTACGCACACACCCAATACTAAACTTAAAATAAAGACATAATCTAGAGAGACGGAAGAGATACCTGATGTTGACCTCTCACTCTGACTTCAACACACACACCACACACATACACACACACACACATACACACACACATACCACACACACACATACATACACACACACATACCACACACACACATACATACACACACACACCACATACCACACACGCCCACACATACCCCCACACACGCCCACACATACCCCACACACCCACTCAGCTACACACACACCACACACGCCCACACAGCTACACATACCCACACACACATCCCTGTTGGAAACATTCTGGGTAGAGGTGATAGATGCACCTTAGGAAAATATTAGATGCTACTGGCCTGTTCGCTCTAAAAGGATTATTTAGGAGGTGTGAATGGAACTTGAGCATGTGCACACACCCTGACCAGAGCCGTAGCACTGGGGGTGGTCTCACAAGCCACCCCATCCCCAAGGATCTAAAGGTGGTTGCTAGGGGAAGAAAGATGTGCTCTGTAGTGTCGTAGCCACTTGTCAGTAGCCCATCTCTGCGTGCCACCTCTACACTCCCCAGCTCTTAGTAATGCGTTTCACTTGGGCTGCTTACAGGAGCCTGAGGTGGGGGCTCCTGACAAGGGAAGGTAAACTGGGGGTGGGGGATCATGAGAAATAATATGATCAAAATGCATTACACACATGCGTGAAACCCCCTGTAACATAAAATCAGCACACACTTATAAAAATATGTGAAAAGGTTAGTTTCATGTCCTGTGGATTTTACCTCAAGTTTTAAAGAAAGCGTCGGGACTGCAGTCACCCGCACAAGAGCCCTGTCAAGGTCTCTCACTAGAAAGCTTTGAGAAGATTTGCATCAACCAACAGGCTGTCTCCAGGAGCTCTGACCCACTCACGTAGGGAAAAAAAAAAAAAAAAAAGAAACATGTAGGGTGCCAAGGTCAATGTGTGACACAGAAAAGCCATTAGCCAGATGCGAGTCAGCCTGGCTGGGCACAGCTCAAGTGCCTCCTGCTCGGAGGAGGCGGATCCCGGCAAGGCAGAGCAGCTGACTCACAGTGGGGCCAGTGGGGCCCAGCTGCCTGGTCTCATTGATCATTCCAGCGGCTCCTCATGGGCCAGCCCAGGGCAGACACCAGCCTTAGCTCACGATGACTGAGCCAGTCTGGGGGTTGGTGGGTAACCGGCCGGTGCTGGGGGTGATGGAACACTCAAGTCCACATTCAGGGATGGACAAGGGCTCCATGTCTGTCCCTTCCTTCCCTCCCAGGAATAACAGACCCGATGTGCTGGCCTAAGAATCTGTTAGCATGTTTTTATAAAACCCCACCTTTGACTTTCAGACATGAGCAGCAAACAGTGCCTCCCGCAGCTGTGAGGAGAGATGATGGTCTTGAACCATGTAAGAAGGCCACACGCAGGGGCAGCACAGATGGCTCAGCAGTTAAGGAGAGCACTGGCTGTTCTTCCAGAAGACCCAGGCTCAGTTCCCAGCACCCACATCTGGCGGTTCACAACCGAGTATAACTCTAGCTCCAGGGGATCTGACGACCTCTTCAGACCTGCACAGGTACCTGCATATATGTGTAGATGTACTCACAGTCGCACAAATAAAAAGAAAAGCCTCGTCTGGGGTCACCCCAGACCTTTGACATTTTGATTACAGGACAAAAGGTGGGGAGTCTACACATGGGAGTACATTAAGGGCCAGTGTGGTGAGAGCCCTCGGCGGGACTTCAGGGGACTGAATAGCACCAGGCTATGGGATTTCATCCTTGGGAAACCTGCCCTTCTTTCCACACTCATGCAAAGTCAGTGAAGACACGGTGCCCCATCACTACTTCCCGACAAACATTGGATGAAGGAACTAAACCGACGATGCGCAGAAGGGCTCTGATGGCATCAAGGCCTGGGAACGGATCACAGAACTGGCATTGCGTAGCTTTACTGACCACCAACCAGGTGGGTATCAGCAGATGAGGAACTGGGATTCAGAAAGGCCAAAGAATGTCATCGCGTTCTTGATTTGTGTGTGCATACATGCCTGTGGAGGCCAGGTCAGCCTCAGGCGTCTCTCCCGGGGTATCTTCATCTCAATTTGTTTGTTTTTCCAGACAGGGTGTCTCTGTAGCTTTGCAGCCTGTCCTTGAACTAGCTCTGT